GCCCTGGATGTAGGAGCCAACTCCAAGGCCTCCCTGGAGGACATGTGCAAGAAGGCCCTGGACCTGGCCATCCAGAAGGGCCTGGTCCAATCCCACCTCTACCAGGTGGTGAACAATTACACCAAGAAGTATGATGCAGGCTGGAGGGCCTTAGCCCAGGCTCAGTGAGTACATTGAGTACAATGAGTACACTCAGTGAGTAAAATGAGTACGAGTATGCTGAGTGCGTACAGTGAATGCAGTGTGTACAGGAAGGAGATGGTTGGATCGATGGATGAGCATGCAGACTTCTGAGCACATTACATCACTCACCCAGTTTTACTAAAAATCTACTCCATGATTACCTTGTGTATCTGTTGGCAAATTAAGTTTTAAAGCACCATTCTGGAATATGCCACAGTGAAACTTGAAGGGCACATCAGTATATTGCCTAAAAGTTATGGACTGGGAGTCAAGGCTGTTGTCAAATGAACTTTGGAAAATAAAATAGTCAATCACACTAAAAATATAGTGGGTTTCAATTTCTATCAGTATTAAGCACTACTTCTAGACTTTTCTTAAACTTAAATCATCTCAATATGGCCTCCTTCAGAATTTAATGTAAATATTCATTCCCAACCTTGCTTTACATTCGGTCGTGAAGAATGCTTGCCATTTCCTTCTACTTTTTCTCACCTCAGGCAGCAAGTCAGTGCAGTAACAGCTTGTCAGGAGACTATTCAGCACGCCCAGCTGCAGGTGGTTCGGTTCCAGTGGTTGTACGAGGATATCTTACAGGAAGCCGGCATACAGCGGCAGAACATGCCGTTCCTGCCTCCGTCAAGGTACCGACTCCAGCACGACCTCGCCCATTGAAATTAATGCTACACACAAAGATATTGTGTAATTCGACATTTAAGTACCGGAAGCCATTACTGCGGTGGCACAGTGCTTGTGGACAGGTGGTATGCACGCTACATACCTCCTCGGCCACTGGGGTGTCGTGAGTTGCTGAATGCATTAGCACGTCAAGCTGGAGAATGTGAATCTGAGTGTAGTGCCACCGTAGTTATGGCCTCAAATCGGATTAGTCTACGTAGACATGCCTGAGATAGACATCTGTTTTAAAGCCCTTTATTGTATAGATGGAGATGAAACTGATTGATTGGTTCATTTTAACGGCCATTTTTGATGTCATAATGTCGATATTTGTTAGGAGCAAAAGTTCCCAAAGTGATGGTGACATCAATGCGCATTTTCTTCTTGAAATAAAGCATCTGACATCTGATGGCAACTTGAGGCTGAAGCAAGCATCTTATTTCAAAAGGGGAAATGTTTTTCCCAATTCAGTGTCTTAATGGTAGTTATCAAATAAACAGATTGTGTTTAGCTCGTTATATTCGAGTAAATACGACGCATAGGTGAGAAACATCATTGCAGCAGCTTATGGTGCGTTCTCATCAGTGAGCACGCTCACTGGACCTTGGAAATACACATGATGTGATAGAGTTCCTGTGTTTTTCAAGGAAATGTGATCAACCTGACAAAACAAGTTGCCTATCACCAAGGTCACTTTGGAGTAATAAAACTCCTTTATCTTCTACAATATCTATTAATAGGAACCTTAACAAGTGTTTCACCCATAAAATGTTCGTTGTCATCAGGGTGCTGAGTGACATACCCAATCAGAGCTCTCTCTCCTCTTTCTAACAGAAACTAAAACAAAATTACCGGGGACAACGTTATGTTTGTTTTCTTACTACAAAGGTCAAGTGTCATGTCTGACCTTCGCAAACGTACTCAGCATCTGCTGTCCCTAGAGGGTGCCATAACAGCCGTTCATGACAGGGCCATCATTCAGCAGAATAGCGTCAGCCAGCGATTGAAGTGGGCGGCAGGTGCTAATCCGACGCTCCACAATGTGCTGCACGAGTTTGAGAAGGCTGTGAAGGACCGGGCAGCCACCTATGCGGTGAGAGACCTTTCAGTGAAAGCATTGGCCATTGACCGTATTTGCAAGTCAGCCATATTGAATTGAAAGCGAGGTTACCTTTTTAATTTTTTTAGAACCTAAGAACGAAAAAGAAAGCAATGAAAAAAATCCATTGCAGACTGATTTTAATTATGATGATGAATAATTTGAAATATGTGATTTATTCTATCTAAATGTTTCAAGCAACATTTAAAAAATGAAAGTGAGGCATGGAACCCGAAATAATCTGGCACCACCACATTTGATATATTACATCGATTACGATAGATTCAGGGAACATGATCAAACATGGCTTCCTTGTGAATAAGGTCTGTTATAGTAACTTGCTTCGCCCAGGTGTTTTTTTCGAACCGTCTGGTAGCTGTTTTACACTTTATAGCCATTTTTCAAAGGATCAGCATGGATGTAGTTTGTCCAAATCTGTCATCATTCCCTAATGTAACATAAAACCTCAGATATTCCTGTTCATGTAATGTATCACCGCCTGTCAGAAATCTGTGGTATCTCGGTGTCAAGAATTTCATTTAATATTTGAATTTTTGCCCAAAGATGGAGAACAAAAGGTCAGCGGAGGTGACTGCCCTGAGCAATGCTATCCTTCACTTTGAGGCACTACGGACCAGGACCAGTGAAGCTATCAATGCAGAGTCCATCTTCCTTGCTTTACTCAAAAGGTAATATTCTGTTCACAAATTGGGAGACTTGTGGTACATTAAACCTGACCTCCAAGTGTTTTCTTGTCATTAAAAAACACCTCCCGAAATCTAACTCAGCACATAACAAAAATGACACATTTTTGGGGATTCATTGGGCTATCGATAACATGGAAGAAGAGATTGTATTTGTAACCAAGTGTGTATCGAAAATCTTTTTCCTCAACCTGACATGTAGCGTACAGTCCATCTTCACTATTTGATCAAAAAATGTAAGTCCGGGGCACAGCCATCGGATTTAAGACCTCATATAACAACTTGTTTTCCACTCTTGCAAGTTGGAAAAATTTACTCAGCGTTTGTGGTCTTTTTTGTGCAAATTCAGCAATAAATTGTTTTGCAAATATTGCACAGCATTTTCATTCCTGGTGTGAGCTGAACACGCGCTTTGGGTGTTGTGCTGATGACGTCTTTCATCTTTCTAATTTTGAATTGAAATTTAGTCAGGCCACCACGGCAAGCTCGGTGGTCAAGTGGTTAAGACATCTGCAGTAGTAAGCAGGAGGTCGTGGGTTTGAGTCCCACCTGAGTAAGCTTGTGAATTTTTTCGCAAGCTCTCAGACAAGCACTGAGCATACAGTGTTTATCAATATATACGTTGGGTAAGGGCGAAACCCGTTATAAAAATTAATATCTCCCCAATGCAAAATATATCTTGAAATAGTCAGGCCACATCGGAAACAACCAGCATTGTTGTAAAGTCCATCACAATTCATTAAGCTGCAGATTGACAAAAGCCATACCTTTGTCATTGATGGCCTTGTCACTTGTGACTAGTCTGGCAATTGTAGACTTGACTACAACATTGGAATCGATTGAATGCAGCTTGGAGTTCCACTAACACATGTATCTATGGGAAGTGGCTGCCGTCGTTTCCCAATGGCTTCACTTGGGCGCAAATGTTATCGCAAGCCATAGCCGCAACTTTCTGTCGTGGCCCGACTTTTGCAGTGATGACTGACTCTCTGTCGTCGCATTCCTCTTCCAGGTGCCAGGAGAGTTGCCTGAAGGTGGAGCAGTGCACGGCCTCCATCAGCCAGATGGAACAGTCTTTCATTGACCTCCAGCCTCCGACGGCCGAGCTACCCATTAGCCGCAGGTGGATCCGCAGCATGCTGGACCTCCTGGAGCAGAGGACGGCTGAGAGGGAGAACGCGGTGGTGGAACAAGAGGTCATGGTGCACAGCGGACGGGTGAGTCAGGGAACCAGACTCTAACTCTGAAGTGGGTCGGTGAGAGGGTTGGTGGGACATTGGCTATTGGGGAGATATTGCGAACCTGGTTTCATGTGCAAGTCAAATGGAAAGTGTGCATGCATTCTAGTGGCTGTCAAAAGACGATGTTG